GGAATGCTGTTATGCGTTAAACTGTGCCCCCAAAGATATCTATGCTGAGATCCTAACCCCCTCCTATGTCAGGATGTGGCCTAATTTGGAAATAAGAGTTGTTGCTGATGTCATTTGTGAAAATGTGGTCATACTGGTGTATTGTTGCCCCATAATCCAATATGACTGTTGACCTTATAATGAGATGGCCATGTGCCATAAGAACAATAAACATTTGTTTTTAGCTGCCTAGACTATGGTTCTTTGTGATAGCAGCTTAGCAAACCAATACAGGTGTTAAATTGAGAGATTGTAAATTCCCACTTCACTGATATCTGGGAAATAGAATTGGATGAGAGAAGTATAGACAAGCAAGTGAATTCAACTCATTCTTTCTAAACGATGTATCATTTAGGGTATTATGTTGAATGTGTTCAGAAACCTACAGGATGGCCAGAAACCATTTGATGGATTATAAAAAGAGAGGAAGAGAATCAAGGGAGAAAAAAAAGAAGCAAAATATTTAAGGGACACAAAAATGGAAAGCTACCTGTTGATGATAATATATATGAGAATATCTTTAACTGGACTAATATACAGTGTGTTCATGCTGGGAAAATTCATTTTGTTAGCTGTAACTATATACAGTGCTTAAATGCATAAAAAAATTTAAATATAAGAAAAAGAAAGGAAGGGTCATAAATGTCATTGTGGACCCATTTAAATAAACTATAATGCCAGATTTGCACTAGGGTATCCTTAATCATACTCTGTTTCAAATAATAACTCTAACTTTACTATAAATGGAATGGAAAATGATTTAAACATTTATATAGCATTTTATGCACACAATTTCTGCATAAAATACTCTTTTTGGCTTATCAAAAACCTCTATAAAATGTTTGCCTCTTCTAAACCATATCCTCTCTAACAACCTTCTCTAGTTTCAGAAAGGATCAACACCACTTCTTTGCTCTACTTAATAGTAAAAGGAATTTATAAAAGGCAGATGTTGTCTGACCAGTTTCATGTTAGGTCTATTTGGTCATTAAAGCATCCTCTGTTGAGTAAAATAATCTCTTAATTATTCCTTTGAATGATGGCATTAGAAACATCAATTTTTCAAATGACTACGTTATCTGGAAGAGTCACATATTAGCCAAGTTAGTCATTAAGTTTTTCAGGGTGACAGGAGAAATAGCTGTTTTGTGTGCTTATTTAATTTCCATTCCTCTTCATTTCAGACAAGATTTCAAGTGACTGCCCATCTTGTCCAATTGAATGTCCAGTCTCTCTCCACCACTGACCAGCCATATAAATTTAAGCTAAATCTTTCCTTATCTTCAGATTAGAGAAAATAAGCCCTCATAAGAAAACTGTTTGTTAAGATTGAAATGAAACTTTTAAGTGGAAGTTAATTTTGCACAGTACATACTACCTGATTGCTCATCAGTGTAATCTATTTTTCTAGTTAGGACTAAGGGTCTAAAGAAATAAGACACATAAGTACTTTTAGAAAGGGATCTAGAGTGGAATACTAGGTACTATTCAGCTTGATGAAGGTCATATGGAAACCCTTAGTTACCTGGGAAATTAAACAAAAATTGAAGTGACACACAGTGAGGACATTGAAATGGTACAACCACTTTGAAAGATGGTTTACATATCTTACACACCTAAATGTAGCATTACCATATAATTCAACAATCACGCTTC